ATGTCATCGACGTACGCCTCCATCGTCCGGCCAAGGACCGCTCTGAAGATCTTGGCCACCATCCTAGTATAGGTGGCGCCGGAGTTTTTGAGTCCGAAGGCCATGACGAGGTAGCAAAAGATTCCCTCTGGGGTCATGAATGCCGTCTTCTCAGCGTCATCTTCATGCATGGAGATTTGGTGGTACCCTCTGATAGCGTCGAGGAACGACATCAACTCGCACCCCGCCGTCTCGTCCACCAGCTGATCAATGTTGGGGAGAGGGAACGGGTCCATGGGGCATGCCTTGTTCAGGTCAGTGTAATCAACACACATTCTGAACGTCGGCGGTTTCTGTGCTAGGACGACGTTGGCCAACCATGTCGGGTACTTCACCTCTTTGATGTGTTTGATTGAGAGGAGCATGGCGACCTCCCCTTTGACGAAGTCCCGCCTGTCGGCGGACAAATAGCGCCGCTTTTGTTTGACAGGCGCGGAGGCCGGATCGACGGTCAGCCGGTGAGTGATCACCTGGCGGCTGATGCCTGGCATGTCGTCCGGACCCCACGCGAAGACAACGGCGTATGACCGCAGGACGAGGAGGATGGCGTCTCGTTGGTCCTGGGGGAGTTGCTTTCCGACCCTGAGAACCCGCTCCGGCCGGGAGGTATCCAGAGGGATTTCCTCGACCTCCTCGGCCGCCTCAGCATGTGGCCTTTCCTCGTCCATGGCGACGTCGGCCGTGATGGTGTCTATCCTCTGTCCCTCCCTCTCGGCCGGCCTCGTCAGTTTGAGGTAGCATGCCCTGGCTATCCTCTGGTTTCCTCTGGCGTAGCCGATGCCGTCGTTGGTGGGGAACTTCAGGCATAAGTGCTTCATGGAGATGATGGCCTCCAGGTCCTCCAGTGCTGGCCGTCCCAAGATCAGGTTGTGGGCGCACTGAAGGTTGACCACCATGAACTCCATGTTGATTTTGGCGTGGTGGGGGCCGTCACCGACCTCCACGGGGAGGACTATCGTGCCCTCGGCGTCGATAGAGTCCCCGGTGAAGCCGGATAACGGGGTCTTGATCGGCTTCAGCAGAGCTCTGTCCAGCTTCAGCTGCTTGAAGGTGTCCAGGTACATCACGTTGACGGAGCTCCCCGTATCGATGTAAGTACGGTGGATGATGGAGTCACCGATCTCACATCGGATGACGAGGGCGTCCCTGTGTGATTCCGTACCCGGAGGCAGATCCTTGTCGGTGAAAGTGATCGCCTCCGTTCGCTGCCTCTTCGGCTGGGGGGGACGTGGGACACCTCCCCAATGTAAAGGGACTGGGCCCATTTCTTTCTCTGAGTGGCGGAGTCCCCCCCAGTATTCCCACCTACGATGAGGTGGACGTGATTCTTCTTCGGCGGGGGCTCCTCGAAGTCCTCGTCGTCGCTGAGCCTACCAATCTCCCGCTTCTTCGCAGAGGGTTCGCCCCCATGTTTGCCGGTGTTTACCCAAGTGTTCTTGCGTGGGCCACCTTTGACAAACTGGGAGAGCTCCTCGGTTTCCCTCGTCCACCGATCAATGAAAGACCGGAGGGACTCCTCGTGCTGCTGCTTGACGGAGAGGAGGTGGGTGAAATACTTCTTCGCGCGCTTCCTCCCGGCGAAGTGAGTGAGGAAGCGCTGGGCGAGATCCAGCCATGAGTCGATGCTCCCTTCGGGGAGCCCGTTGAACCACTCGTACGCTGGCCCCTCGAGAGTAGAGAGGAACCAATGGCAGAGGTATTCGTCGGACGCGTTCACCATCAGCATGTTGTTCTGGTAACGGCTGAAGTGCTCTTGGGGGTCTGATCGGCCATCGTAGGACTTGATGGCGTTTCCCCTGTACTTCTCCGGGATGGGGGCCGAGAGGACCCTGTTGGTGAAGGGGGTCCTGGTCCTGACCTCGATGATGGGGTCACCTCGCCCCTCGGCCAGCTCCCTCTCCAGGGCGCTAACCTTGTTCATGAGCGCGTTGAGGCCGGGGTCGTTGGAGGCGCCGGCCGTAGGGATGTTGGCCGACTGCTTGGCTTCCATCTGAGCCAGCCTCCTTTCCAGCTGGGCGATGACCTCGTCCCGAGGATCCTTGGCGGCCGCAGCGGCGCCCGGCTGGTTCCTCATGCGCTCTTTGTGAGCCGCGTTGATATGGTGACGCACGTCGTCCTCGTGCAACTTTCCCTTGCCCTTGTCCGGGCGGGGCTGGTCCGCTGTCCGGGACACAGACCCCAAGCTTTCCCTTGGTGAGCCAGGACGAGGATCACCGATCCGTCCCGTCATCCTCTCCGAAACCGGACGACGGCGCGTGTCACCTAGCCTGTTGAAGGCAGAGGCTTTTCCACGCGCTGGGGTTTGCCCGGGCCGAAGAGGGGAAGCAGGGTGGGAGTGGGACGACGCCGTGTCCTGGGCCACTACCCCCTCATTGTTGCCTATCTGGTCGGCCAACGGTTGGGGATGAGGAGGTGGAGTGACGTTTCCCCCGGTCCTTGGCAAGAGTGCGCTGAGGACGGTGGGGTTCTGAGCCAGGTTGGCGATGATGACCGACAGCGCGGCCTGGACCTGTGGATCCACGGGCGGAGAGGCCGCGGCCATAGGCTGGGCCGGGGCGTGATCCGTCTTCTCAGCTCGCTTCTTGTCCAAGCCGAGGCGGGCATCAGGGACTCCGCCGTTGAGTTGGTTGCGGAGGTCCGTTGTGAGGTTGAAGGCCTCCTGGAAGAGGTCCCCCCCGCCGGCCTGGTCGGCCGTGGCGTCCTCCTCATGCTCCCTGGGCTCTTGGTCCTCAGGGATGACTTTGCTGACGAGGTTGCGGTTTGACTTAGTTCTCCCCATGATCAGTGGTTAGCTGTGCTTGGTAGCGACGAAGGGTGCTAACTTGATTGTTCTAGCTCTCAACGAGAGCACCAAATGATAGAGTATATCTAGAGAGAAGTGAGAGCTAGAGAGAGAAGTGCAATAATATGCTTCAATAGAATGAATTCGTAACCCCTATAACTACTCCCAAGGGGAGTATTTATAGAGAAAATTAGGGTTGGGCTCCCAAGTCTTGGGCTTGGGAGGCCCATTTACAACTGGACCGCTACTGGGCCGAATACAAGGCCACTAATGGGCTGTATAAATGAATAAGTATAAAATCTGATTCTGTGAGCTCTTCGTGGCCGACGAGGGCGTGGCCGACGAGGGCACGGCCGACGAGGGCACGGCCGACGAGGGCACCCGGGTTCCTTGGACTCAGGACCATAATCCGAGTTGGCCCCTTTTCGGCCGACGGGGGCGTCTTGGCCGACGAGGGCGCCACTCTGTTGTCTTGTACTTTCTGTTCTTCCGAGTATGTGGGTCCGGGGGCTCAGACCCATATACTCCATCAAGGCTCATTCCGAGTGGGGGGAGACGACCCATGATTCACAATAAAAAGAATGTCAAAGGGTGATGGAGAAGCAAATCGGGAATGAAGATGGTGGATTTTATTTAGTTGAGGGTCGACGTCAAGAGGAAAGGAGATACCGAGTGTATCGGAGGAGCAAGATTAGGGAAGACCATTGGAGATTTGGGGGGGGGGGGGGGGGGGGGGGGGGATCCGAGTAGATAGTAATTCAGACAAACATGGGTTAGAAGGTGATTGTCCAAAACACGACAAGGATGTGATGCTCTTAGAGCATCACCGTCTATAGCTATGTCAGGGCATAGGATCGGGAGAGTTTCCTTAGAGGTACGTGGTTGGTCAACCATATCTTCCTTTGAAGTGACCGGAAATACTAGGATGTTTGGTTTAATTTATTTTCATTGTTATTTGAACAATTTGTTTTATTTCCATTATCATTAAAGTAGCAAGTTCAACAATGTTATTATTAGATTCGTCTACATATTTGGAAGATTAGTGAATTTGTTTGATCATTGGGGGACAATTTCTGTCTCATCACAATGTAACATTGAACTATTACAGTACTTATTTCCTTTTTATTTTTATAATTAATAAATAAGTTTCCCTTTGCCAAAAAAATAATGCATGAAAATGTCAAGATGGCAAAACAATCATACTCTCTCCGTCCCGAAAAGGTTTGTCAAATTGATTTTTTTTTATCAATGACAATCAACTTTGACCAATGATATTTTTTAATACGAAATTATTTTGAATATGAAAATTATATCAAATTGTTCCTAATTCAAAATATTTTCATAAAAGTATAAAATTTATAAATTATACTCCCTCCGTCCCTTATAACTTTGCCAACTTTCCTTTTTTGGTTGTCCAAAAAACTTTGTCACTTTCCCTTTTAATCAATCAATTTGTGCCTCATGTTATTTCTCTCTCCTCTGCACAAATTTCTACCACACGGTTTTTACTTTATTATTCTACGTTCCGGTCAAAAATGGCAAACCTTTAAGGGACGAAGGAAGTATACAAATATAATAATTACAATGATTGTCCAATGTCAATCTGGTACACCTTTTCGGGACGGAGGTAATACTTTGTTTCAATACAAATGCCATTGAGATAACATTTAAATGGTCAAATGGCATTTTAAAGCAGTCTTTCCAATTTTGACAAAGGTGGTGATGCCGGGAAAGACAGGGTGGCGATGACGTCTAGCGGTGGCTGTTGGTGCCAGCTATGGGTGGTGCGTCAGCAACTTGCGGCGACAGTAGTCTGAACAAGAGCACTTTGCAATCCATTGTTGCGTGCATGACTTTATGAGAGAAAGGAACGTGCTAAACAATTGGCAATAAAATTGCTTTTCTGGTTCCATTCGTACAAAGAAATGGTCAAATATATACACCTTAATACACGTCAAAAAGGTAAGGATCTCATGAATTAATCATGGTCCACTACCGCAAACACTAATCTAGGAAAGAAAATAAATACAATAATTACAAAATCAAATAAGGTAAAAATATTATGCATGTGCCCGTTACGCATGGCTTCTTTCCATTTGGTGATGAGGACCGCACACTTTATTATTTTATTTTTCATTTTTAATAAATAAATAAAACATTTCATTAAAGGTACTTTTGTCCGCTCGTGTCTTTTGACTCCTATGGTAATAATGGGATCACACAAAACTTTGCACCCTTAATGTTTTACTCCTAGTTACAAAATAGGATATTGAGCAGCTCTTCTTATTAGTTCGACCTTTTAGGATAGAAAAAAATAACGATAATTATGACAAAGAGATGATATGTATTGATGGAACGGGTTTGGGTATACTATCAAAACCTTGATCGATCATTGGGGAGGGCGGAATGAATAATAAAAGGGGAAGGTAGCTACGGATGGGCGCGGCCACAAAGAAGAGCATTGGTGGGGAGGGGAAGCTCATCCCTCCAAGAGGTTGAGGGAGTGAAAACTCGGAGGTAGAACTGCTGGCCCAAATACTGCCTTCCCCACTCCTCCGATCTTATGTTCCACATCCCAACATTGTCCAGAGACATGTATATTGCCGTCCACGCCCGTGGGTACACCTGCACTGTGCACCGCGCAACCGTGTCTCGCAAGTTATATGCCCTCCTGCTTGCTGCCGCGCTCCACTCACCTCCTTCCATTCCGACCACAAAGAAAGAGTACCCATCTATGTGCCAAGATTGGACAGTGTCCTCCCAGTTCTGAAAAACAATCTCAACAAAAGACCGAAAATCGGCAGCCATGACAGCTCCTGTTCCGAGATACGCGCCGCCGCCGCGGGGAAAGTCTGGGATGGCTCCGAGATTGATGACTCCCCCGATTTTGAAGTAATCTGCAAGCTTTAATGGCGTGTCCGGATTCACATAGGATACCCCATTCACGGCGTACCTTTGCTTTCCGTTGATGTAGGGGGCGGAGTTGGCGAGCACGATGGTTCGCGATGGTTTGATCAGTCCGTAATGGTAAGATCCTTGCGGGTTTGGTCGAGGCCCGCTGGCTGTCAAATTCCAGCGTATAGATCTTGCCTGGTTGAGAGACCACTCAACTTGTGTGGTTGGCCCTCTCGGGGGAGGCCCAGACACTCCCACAAAGGAGTTGCTGTAGTGGAGAAGCGCGGTTGTGGTCAGTACTCGCGCGCTAAACCGAGAAGAAGCCACGACGTAGTAATCTTTGGGCTGCTGGTCTGCTGTCACTAAAACAGAGCAGGACTGTCCTACGTGGATGTCCAGGTTACTAAAGCTGGTCTGTAGTGTGTGGGACCCTTCAACCTCTATCAGCTTCATCGTGTGTCCTTGTATTCTAAAGTTGATCGATGTAGCAACTCCCACATTTGATATCCTGAATCTGTACGTCTTCCCTGCAAAATATACTCTGTAATAATTAAAAATAAAGTAGGACAATGATAGAGAGACAGAGAGTAATTATAAAAAAATACTCCATATGGCAAATGTACTTTGCTGCAGGAAAATCTTTAATATAGAGTTAAGGGAATTGAAATGTAAGCATTGAGTGAGGAATGAAGACCACCTGGATCAACTATGAAAGTATAACCGTTCCATCCACGACCATTGATTAACAGCCCATCGGGAAATGGAAGGTTATGCCCACTGTCCAAGATATACAGCAATTGCTGCAAAGCATCGCAATAAAAATAACTATTGATTTGTATAGTTTTTTAGTATGAGACTACTTATGGGGCGGTGATATTGGACTAGAAAGAAATGTATTAGCAAAGAAAATGAGATATTCAGATTAGATTATGGTGATGTACGTAATAAATAACCTGATGAGTTCTCTTGAACCAGTCTCCCACTAAGACGGTATAGTCATGAGCAGGGGGAGGGAAAGGAACCGGGATTCTGGGGCGGCTGTAGATTCTGATGGCACCATAGCCCCCAAGAGCCTTGTGCATTCTGAGAGATGGGAAATAAAAATAACTCCCTATTTGATCCTTTGCCTGTAACATATATGTGAAGTTTTTCCCCGCTGGAATCGGACATGTCGTCCCGTACACCCCATCCTCCCATGAATTCCTCCTTTCTTGTATCCCATTCCTGATCCATCATTCCCAACCCCCACACACATTCATAAGTGATAGATACTCCGTAGTACTGTATTTAACAACGGATCCACACTAAATAAAATAGCATTTGGAAAACACTAACTACTTTAACTTTTCAATAAAAAAATGCAAGAAATATTTTCTCATCTTAAATTAAAGAAGATAGAAAGTGGTGGGCATACCAGGAGAGCAGAAAGGGCTCAGTCAAGAAGTTATAGACATTGATAATCAAATTGTCGTTGGTGACACAATCAATCTGCGGCCCTGGGAACTGCCCGTTGATCAAGATTATGCCCTGTTGTTTGATACCCAGAGGGTAAATATCACCATAAGTGATTTTCCATGTATACAATCTGTAAGGGTTGTCTCCCTTCACACGCACTGATAAAATGACGACGGCCAATACCAAGGGCAGCGCCGCCGCCGCCGCACCGCAATATGAACTGCCGCGCTCTCTCATCCGCTTGTACTCCGATCCCTAGTGCGCTCTTTCAAAGGGGGCGCAATCATATGCAGAGCAAAAGAACCGGGCCGGCCGGGAGCAAATAAAACAAACGATGCGTGCTAGTCGGTGTGCAGTATGGTGCTCGCTCGCTCGCTCGTGACTAGTCTGTCTGTCTGTCAGAAGAAACAGTTGACTGACACTCACACAGATGACAGCTGCATGAGATAACATCTTTTAAGAGTTTTTGTCACCTTTGTTCCTCCGAGTACTTTGTCAGTGACACTTTCAGTACACGACTTTTAATTTTTCCATTTTTAGTTTTCGACTATTGTTCGTGAGACACTTTTAATCCTATACTTTCAAGTTTTCCACATTTAGTCCTTTGAGTATTATCAAATTGACACTTTTAGTCCTTCTACTATGATTTTGACACAATAAGTGGAGGACTAAAAATGTCTCTATAGCAATACTTGAAGGACCAAAAGTGTCACTTCTACAAAAGTCGAAGGACTAAATACGGAAATTTTCAAAGACGGATACCAAAAGTGTCTCTCGCACAATAGTCGAGGACTAAAAGTGGAATAATTAAAAATCGAGTACCAAAAGTGTCACTGACACAATAGTCGAGGGACTAAAAGTGACAAAAACTCCATCTTTTAACGCATATGTTAGGATTATTATTCGTTTTGGACAAATCTAAACTTGTAACGTTTGAATTTTCTTAATTAATAATAAAATCATAAAAAAAAATAATAAAAATAAAAACTAATAAAAATGGAAAAAATAATAAAAAATTTATGAAATATGTATAAAATAAAAAACTAAAAACATTAAAAGAACATTAAAAACACTGCCGCCTATGCCACCCCCTGCACCACCAACTCTCATCACCAGTTGGAAATCTGCCAATTTTTTTATTAATGTCATGATAATAACAAATTCAATGAAAATTTTGGCATTATGAAGAGTAATAATGCTATTTTTTGGCAAAAATATTGCATTTTTTACAAAAAAAAATGGCAGAATTTTCACTAATTAGAGGTGGTGGCGATGGGAGGCGATGGGAAGGTATCCATGTGTTTATGGGTTTTTAATATATTTTGTTAATTTTTAATAAATAAAATTAAAAATAAATATTTTATAAATATTTTATTAATTTTTTATGATTTTTTTATTATTTATGATTTTATTATGAATTAAGACATGTAATTATGAATTAATACTCTTAAGGGTATTTAAGGTAAAAATCAATGTTTAGTCCTACCTGGAGGGATTTAAAAAGTGTTTAGTGCTATTTGTGCTTTTTAGGTAAATTTTAGTCTTATTGAGGGTACTTTGTATTTGAAAATTAGTTTTGATAGATATAATAGCTTACGATTTTGCCAAACTTTTCTTTTTGTTTGTCCTACATACTTTGTCACTTTCTCTGTTAAATAGTTTGTAGTTCAAGTTAATTTTCTCTTTTTGGCACAAAATTCAACCATACAGGTCACAATGATCAAACTTGAGAAAGTTCTAAGCGCACTTAGATTATTTAGTTCAAAATATTGAGTGTTTAATTTAAATTTGAAGTCAAAGCGGCAAGCCCTAGCATCTGTCTAGGTTATTTTGGGAGATCACCGCCGCCTCTTTAGGCAGTGGATTGTGTCTCAGTTTTGGTTATTGAAGTCAGAGGAGAGGTTACGAGCGTTGTAGGCGGGCATGGAGCAAAAATGCGTCGTGTACACGCCGGTTTACACGGCCGTGTACACCAAATAAAAAGCCCCACCCCCTTTTCTAATCCACCCTAGTTTTGAATTAATCCTCCCCACTCCCCTTCTTCTCCCCTTTGCACACACATTAATCCTCCCCACTCCCTTTCTTCTCCCCTTTGCACACACAATATGCATGTTCCGTTTTTTATTTGTCTGTACCCTTCCTCTCTCTAACTTGCAGCACTTCTTCATTTTCATTCAAGTGGTGACCGAGGTTGTGGTAGGTGACGAGCATCATGGAAGCCAGTAATACGTATGTCTGCGACGACGAAATTCGTTGGACATGGGAGAAAATGTTCGGGCACAGTCCTGGTGAAACCTCCACGCCAACTGCGACGGAAGGCGGTGAATATACGACAGAGGGAGACATGCAAGGCCATGAACACACGAAGGCGTCTGCGACGGAAGGAGTTGAACACACTCCCGCTGCCACGCTAGGCGATGAACGCACGACGGATGGGAAAGCAGTTGACGTTGAGCTAGGTTGGTATTTATGTAGAGTCGTTTCTTCATGGTTGTTATGTTATCTTAGTTTATAATACGTACAGACACCGTTTATAATACATACAGACAACGTTTCTTCATGGTTGTTATATTATCTTAGTTTATAATACGTACAGACAACGTTTATAATACGTACAGACAACGTTTATAATACGTACAGACACCGTTTATAATACATACAAACAACGTTTCTTCATGGTTGTTATATTATCTTAGTTTATATTACGTACAGACAACGTTTATAATACGTACAGACAACGTTTATAATAGGTACAGACAACATTTATAATACATACATACAACATTTATAATACATACAGACAACGTTTCTTCATGGTTGTTATAATATCTTAGTTTATAATACGTACAGACAACGTTTATAATACATACAGACAATGTTTATAATACATACAGACAACGTTTCTTCATGGTTGTTATATTATCTTAGTTTATAATACGTACAGACAACGTTTATAATACGTACAGACAACGTTTATAATACGTACATACAACGTTTATAAGACGTACAGACAACGTTTATAATACATACATACAACGTTTCTAATACGTTGTCTGAACGTTTATAATACGTACAGACAATTACAAATATGTTGCCATAATTCAGAAGTTCATAGAGTGGGTTTTCAATGTGATTTTAATATTGTCTTTTTTGAAAGTGGTATGATCATTGTATGATGTTTATAAACTACTTTGGCCATAATGTTTCCCTTTCCATAATACTGTTTGTATGTGCATAATATTGTCTGTATATACATATTCTTAAATAACAGATGCAGGTGAACAAAATAACAGAGAGGAAGATATTAATGTGGTTGTTCCGGAAGTAGGCATGATATTTGATACCACAGACGCGGTGTTTGAGTTTTACAAAACATATGGAAGAAGTTTAGGATTTCCGGTAAGAAAAAGAACATCAACAAAGGATAGAAAGAAGGGCGAGGTAGTGTCAATTGTGATAGAGTGTTCACGGGCGGGAAGAAGAGGTAGCAAGGCATTAAACTGTTTGAAGCCTCAACCTTCAATGCAAACATGTTGTTCGGCTAGAATTAGAGCACGCACTACTTATGTTGGGTCATGGGAAATTTCAAAAGTGTATTTAAATCATAATCACCCCATGAGTCCCACAAAATCTAGACTATTTCGTTGCAATAGGAAGCTGACACCACACGCCATGAGAAATCTTGAGATTAATGAAGTTGCGGGAATACCCGTTCACAAGAGTTTTAACTCCATTGTTGTTCAAGCGGGGGGGTATGATGCCCTACCTTTTATTGAAAAGGATTGTAGGAATTACATTGACAAAATTCGGGAGCTTAGGCTAGGAAGTGGTGATGCAATGGCTATACAAGCATTTTTTTCTAACATGCAAGCACAATGTCCCGGTTTCTTCTTTAGTGTTGATTTAGATGATGAGTCACGCTTAAGAAATGTATTTTGGGCGGATAATAGAAGTAGGTATGCATACAAAAGTTTTGGAGATGTCATTACCTTTGACACAACCTACCTAACTAATCGTTATGATATGCCCTTTGCACCCTTTGTGGGAGTGAATCATCATGGCCAATCTATATTATTTGGATGTGGCCTAATCTCAAATGAAGATACACAAACTTTTGTTTGGCTCTTTAAGGCTTGGCTTGATTGTATGGAGGGTTGTGCTCCAAGCGGTATTATAACTGATCAAGACCGTGCCATGCAAAATGCAATTCAACTTGTATTCCCGAATACTAGGCACCGTTGGTGTTTGTGGCATATCATGAAGAAGTTACCCGAACAAATGGGTGGGCATGCGGATAAAGATCACATCATGTTCAAGATTCATGAACTAGTTTATGATTCACAGCACACCACAGAGTTTGAGGCTGGGTGGGAAGTTATGCTCCAAAGGTAAGGTTTTCTCAAAATGAATATTTTTATTTTAGTGAACTGCAGACAATGTTTATCCTTGTACAGACATTAAACAAATATAGACAGGCATTTTTTTATATTGTCTGTAGAGGAAGTATATCGTCTGTGATTTATACAAAATTGAACCCTACACAGACATTTCTATTCTGTCAGTCTAACTATTGTCTGTGTTGTTAGGTTTTCACTAGAGCATGATGAATGGCTGCTGGTTATGTACAACGAACGTCGTCGTTGGGTGCCCTGTTACCTGAAACCATATTTTTGGGCAGGCATGTCAACCACTCAACGAAGTGAAAGCATGAACGCCTTCTTTGATGGGTATGTTCATTCTAAAACTAGTCTAAAACGGTTTGTCGATCAATATGGACGTGCTTTAAGAAATAAGGTTGAAAAAGAATTTCAAGCCAATGGTAATTCTTTGAGTAAAATGATTCCATGTGTTACATCGTTTGCAATGGAAAAACAAGTGCAACATGTTTACACCTTAGCAAAGTTCAAGGAGTTCCAAACCCAATTACTTGATCAATTGTATTGTTATGTCCTACCTAGCATTGATGGTAGCACATTTGAAGTTAGAGAGAATCGTGTCATCAATGGGTTTGATAAGAGTTCGAACTTCATTGTTGAGTATGATAATTCAACATCCAAAGGAATGTGTAGTTGCCACTTATTTGAGTTTCGAGGCATTCCATGTAGACATTTTCTTATGGTGCTAATTCGGCATGATGTTAAAGTGTTGCCTGATTGTTACATAATGTCAAGATGGCAAAAAGACATCAAAAGAGCTTACACACGAGTGAAGATTAACTACGATGGTTGGATCACAACCGTGGAACAACAAAGGTTTGATAAGTTGTGTAAGACTTTTGAGACCCTTGCGAATTCTATTGCTGATGATGAAGAAAAGTTCAACAGTGTAATGATGTGGCTTCAACGGCAATTGGAACAACATGACCACCGTCCTTCTCATTCTTCTATATGTGGTGTCATGACACCATTACCACAATCCGGAACAAATGTTGCCAAGGACCAACCACAAATAATTCATAATCCTAAGTCTTCAAAACGGAAGGGTGCTCCCAGGAAAAATCGTTTGAAGGGGCCACTAGAAAAGGGGAAAACTAACGCAAAGGTATGCTGCCTTGCACTTTCTATGAACAACAGACAATGTTTAAACTTGTACAGACAATGAACACATATGTACAGACATAATATTACCGATTTTATTTCAGGCAAGGGCGCCAAAAAAGCTGGCCACACAGGACATTGTTGTTGCTGAGGTGCCCACACTACATTACCAAGATGGTTTAGATTTGAATCTTTCTCTGGTTTGAATTGTTAATGAAACTTCGTATTGAAATGTCTGTGGCGCAGACAACTCAATGTCTTTGTCTACATTAGTACATTGCATTTTTGTTTATGTAAAACTATTTGTAGTCCTATAATATAGTTCTAAAATATAGTGTGGATGACGAAGACAATCAAACTACATCGAACCTTCAATCCGTCTGTATAGAGACATTTAAATGTACAGACAACGTGTATAATACGTACAGACAATATTTATAATACGTACAGACAACATTTATAATACATACAGACAACGTTTATAATACATACAGACAACGTTTCTTCATGGTTGTTATAATATCTTAGTTTATAATACGTACAGACAACGTTTATAATACATACAAACAACGTTTATAATACATACAGACAACGTTTCTTCATGGTTGTTATATTATCTTAGTTTATAATACGTACAGACAACGTTTATAATACGTACAGACAACGTTTATAATACGTACAGACACCGTTTATAATACATACAGACAACGTTTCTTCATGGTTGTTATATTATCTTAAATACGTACAGACAACGTTTATAATACGTACAGACAACGTTTATAATACGTACAGACACCGTTTATAATACATACAGACACCTATAATATAGTTCTAAAATATAGTGTGGATGACGAAGACAATCAAACTACACCGAACCTTCAATCCGTCTGTATAGAGACATTTAAATGTTTGTATACAGACTTTTATATCATGTTAAATGTTTGTATACAGATATTTAGTCCATTAATCCGTCTGTATTTGAATCATAATCACCCCATTCGCTGCAAAATGTCTCAACGGGAAACTACACACTTACACAAGCCTAAAGTTAACACAAACTAAAAAAATTGTCTGTCAGGATACATCATGCAAAGAGGACACAATGTCTGCACGCAGACAATACCCTTTATGTTTGAATTCGACATGTAAGTAGAAGTAAAATGTAACAAAAGAAATTAAAGTAAGTTCACCTCTTCCTTGAACAACAACTCTCGTGGGCTACGGCATTCTTCAAAGAAACCATGTTCTTCGTTCATCAACATCAACTTAAAATTTCAAATAAACATTGTAAAATAAATCACAAAATGTGTGATTTAAAAACCAATACAACAAATGTACCTTGACAACACTTACATCATTCATCACATTATTGATGACAAAGTCTGGACTTTGATAAATCTGTTCGGAAGATTACTAAACATAAATAACATATGAAAACTATGTGCGAAATGGTGTTCGTAATGGTGCTTAAACAATTTAGATTACTAAACATAAATAACATATGAAATCTGTCCCGACCCACACATAATCCACATCCTTAAACAATTTAAAACAATTTCAAACATTCCCCAAACTCATTAGCCGTTAGAAATGTTTAGAAATGTACATCGTTAAATAGCCCATGACCACGAACTACCAATTCTTCATCAGCAGTCGTCGTGTCAGCAATAGCCGCATCTCCATCCTCGTCACCACACTGAAATATGTTAACCAAATCTACTCACATATTGTCTGTACAGGCAGTATATTGTCTGTTTTAATGTATACAGACAACCTCAGCGGTATGAAATCAGAATATTGCATACAGACAAAGTTAAATAAGTACAAACTTTTACCTCTTCACCTACTTCATTAATAACCATGTCGGGTTCCCTACTGTTTCGTGTATGGGCATCTTCTTTAGATGTTACCTGTTCATCTACTTCGTTATTAACCTCAGCTCTATCCTCTTCAACAACCTACAATTTCATTGAAACAGTTAGTGTGGAGGAAATGTTTGTCTCAAGTCAATTTTCATACAAACAACTGTAAAGCCAAATACAAGAGGAACTTACCAAGTCGGGTTCCACATTACCCTCAACAACTTCACATCTATCCTCAACAGCCTACAATATGTTTCCAAAATTCGATAATGTCATTTGTAATATACAGACAAATTACAATACAGACAACCTAAAAATGAAGTACAGACAAATTCACCGAAGTGCAGAAGACATTTACCTCTTCAGTGTCCACATTGTTTTGTTCGCCATCTCTATTTCCATCGTCATTCCCTTCCTTCTCTTTCATTTCAGAAAGGTGACTTTCAGTGGCTTTCAACCTCCTTTCAAGATGGGCTACACGTTCACGCAATAACCGCAATTCCTTTTCTGCGGCATCCTCATTGCTTTCCTCTTCCTCCTACCAATAAATGATGTAAATAATTACAACTCTGTACTCCAGACAATTACAGAAATTACACCAACAAAAGTATTACCTCAACAATATCTTTAAACACAATTTTTTCTAGCACATGGGCATGAAAAAAGCCATTAGCAGTCCACTTAAGCATTGGAATATCATTCTTACCCGCCACACGTTTGGCACATTTTTGCGCAAGGACAGGCAGTTCCTCGTACGCCCAAACCTACATACATTCATGAGTGTAATACAGAGAACTTATACAGACAGTGAATCTCAAAAACTGATATCATCCAGACGATTTATTCATGTATACAGACAATGTAACTCTTAAGTAAACAAATATACAAACAATAACATCAATACCTGTAAAGCATAGGGGAAGCCATACAAGCTAAACTTTGCATTGCGATAGTTACGATTTGCCAGCTTGCTTTGTTGAAACTTCAGTGGCTGGCCTTGCATGGTCTTCTTGAGACTCATCACAGTCACATTGTATGACTCTTTGGACCAGGGGCAAGACTTGAAAAGCTTAAACTCATCCACCAAACGCAAGTAATCCGGATGGATTCTTGTAGGCAAATCTCTAGCCAGCAGACAAGAGTGGACCAAAAACAAAGAAGCCAACTTCACCCGGTCCATAACATCTTCGTTCTCTTCTCGAGGGCTCTTACCTAGGGCAGCAACTTTCGCCTTCAACTTGTGATAGGTGACATCATCACAGCCACCAAAATACTTCTCCGCAATGCCCTGCCTTGCTTCATCCAGATCATAAGTGGGCCATTCTTCTAGATCTTTCACACCAACAATCCTATTGAAGTCATTGTAAGTGAACTTCATCAGCTTCCCCTCAAAAGCAAACCACATTTCATCCTCAGGCTGCTCACGCACAAGGCGCAACAGCAACAAATGAATTAGCTGCCCTGAGAATTGAAAGTGCGGACAAGCAAGTAAATGGCCCCAAGGGGTTTTAAGAAGCAATGACATCTGCTTGAGTGTAAGGCATTCACTCAGCAACTCCAAAGCCTCATTGAAGGCTGACCGTACTGAGTATTGGGCTGGGAAGTAATCTCTTAGAGGAATTTGAAGTTCCATCCTAAAAATATTCATACAGACAGTGGTCACACACAAATATTCATACAAACAGGTTTGAAGTTCACAAAAATATACAAACAAACCATACAGACATCTCAAAAACAGCCACACAGACACCTTAACCCACGAATAAGAACACGCTATACAGACATCTTTAAAAGCACAAAACAAGCAACCAATACAACCCAACTAATGAGGCACAAACATCTCATGTACATCAATAATCTAAGGTGAGACCACTTTTATGAGATAGACATGCACCTGCACACTGTATAGACATCTCAACAAAAGTCATACAGACAGGTTTCGACTTTGCAAAAATATACAAACAAACCATACAGACATCTCAAAAAATAGCCACACAGACACCTTAACCCACAAATAAGAACACGCTATACAGACATCTTTAAAAGCACAAAACAAGCAACCAATACAACCCAACTGATGAGGCACAGACATCTCATGTACATCAATAATCTAAGGTGAGACCATTTTTATGAGATAGACATGCACCTGCACACTGTACAAACATCTCAACAAAAGTCATCCAGACAGGTTTCGACTTTGCAAAAATATACAAACAAACCATACAGACATCTTAACAACAGCCACACAGACATCTCATGTACATCAATAACCTAAAGTGGAGTTTTGGAGATCTTTACCTTGCTGCCAGTTGAGTCAGCGAAGTGCGCACCATTGTAGTGGAGTTTTGGAGACGACGGCCGGACGGGGGGAAGTTGTGACTTGCGACCGGAGAACGGAGAACGACGACGACGTCCAACGGGAGGAAAGAGGAGTGGGGAGGGGAGTCGAAAAAACGGAGAGGAGGGCTCTGCGGCTTCGACGGCCAACGGGAGGAAAGAGGAGTGGGGAGGGGAGTCGGAAAAACGGAGAGGAGGGCTCTGCAGCTTCGATTGTTGGGTTTCTCTGGTTTGTGGGGAGTCGGGAAAGAGGAGTGGAAAGGGGAGTACGAAAAACGACTGGCGGGTTTTTTCGAAATGGCACATGGAAGGGGAGTGGGGAGGATCAATTCAAAA